AGTTATACTGAGCGAGGAAAATTGCAAAAACACATATTAGGGTCCCTGTCCTTAAGTGTATTTCAGTTTGCATTTTGATAGCAGTTTAGAAATGTTATCGCCTGTTTTGTCACAGACATAATTCACATCTTTCTTCAGGCACTGTAAACAAGAGAAATGGTTTAATGGCTCCATAAAAGGCACTCTGTGCTGATAGCTGAGATTAGACCCTTTAGTAATGGATTTTTGTGTGCTGGGGGAAGGGGAAGGCTTGGCAGAAGTAAATGTACTGGAAAAGAATCTTTGAGAGACTGATGTATCTGGAGTCCCTGCTGCATTTCTGCGTGTGTTGGGAGGTGGATTTAAAGTGTGACAGTATAGGCTTTATCAATACAAGGGCCTGCTCTTCTTGTTTTTGAAATTTTACTGAGTACTAACTCGAGTTACCTGGTTAGTTCAGCACCTGGAGTTGTGGTGGTATTAAATCAGAAATTTTTTCACAGCTTTCTCAGTCAATCATAAAAATGAATCAGTTTATTTGCAAAGTTGGCTTTAGAGAGTGGTGCGAGGCCATAAATTTGAAAAGCAAATCAAAAACGCACAGCAGAAATGTTCAAGGCATGATGACTTCCAGCGACCTCTCTGTTGCATCCTTTTCTCTGCAGCTATGCAAAGTTTTCAAACATAATACAGATGAACCTAGTATTACTTTCAGGGTCAATTTTGCTGTTGATTTTATATAATGAATTATCCTGCAAGTGTTGATAATAAGACATTTTTATCTTTTTTTGGTCTGTGGAATCAAGACCTGCTGGTTACCAAGCATCGTAGTATTACCAGTATTATTTAATGCCTTTTAAAAATATGTTTAAATCAGTTCTTCACAAAGCAAAATCCGATTTTATATTGCATTCTCAGTAGGAACCTGAAGTTTGAAAATTTTAAAGTATCTTTTTTTTTACTCAAAGGAGAAATGACTTGCAATTTCATCTAAAATATGTATTGTTTCTTCATCTTGAATAATCATTTTTTGAATAGAAAAGATTATGAAATCTTGGCTTTAATATTTGATGTAGTGCATTTCTTAGGCTTTCTCAAAAGAAGAGACTCAGTTCTGTCTGTAAAGAGATGATACAGTTCCTGTTTGCCAGCCTAGGAAGCATGCAAAGTCTCCTCTAAGACAAACATTCCTTCTTTTAATTTCGGAGTTGTTAATAATAGTATTCTCCTTGTAGGTTTTAAACTGGGTGTTATGAGCAAAGTGTTTGTTACTTGTCAGCAGCATTATCCTTAGTCAAAGGAGTGCGGCACTTGAAAACAAGGTGTATCTGCATGTTCTGTGCGAGTTCATTACACGGTGACACTGTCACTGTTTTGTGTAAAACCTAAGTACGTAAAAACATTTAAAAAACACAGAAAGCTAATGTAAGACTATATGTTCTGCATTAGATATAACATGCAAGGTCTCCTACTATGCAGATCTAGATAGATACATCTATACACACTGAATATGCTATATGTATTACAGTATAATCAGTTTGCTACAGATGGTAGCAGTCCTGTTTGCCTTATGTCTGTGTGTTGGCTTCAGAGATAGGGTCTGTGCTTTGAGCCTGTTCTGGTACTGACACGCCTTACTTTCCAGTGCTTGAGATGAGGTGTTGAAGCTGGCCATCTAAATACTGGTTGTAAGTTTGTTTTCTTATCGAGTTGGGAAGTAGTTATCTGTAAGTAACCACTTGGGATGAAATCCTGGCCCTTGGTCACTTCTTAAAAAGGTTGTTTTTAAGTAGAGTACCTGTTAACTGCAATAGGGTTGAGACTGTGTTCTCTGGTTAAACAAAATGAATTTACCATCAAGAATGAAGTAGTGAGGAGCTGGTTGTTCGAAATGGCAATTTTTTAATTTGGATGTGTTGGTAGCTGGGTATGCTGTGCTAAAATTAGGTTATATAAATAAGCAACCTTGCTCTTATCAGAAGAAAACTGGTAGAAAAAAGTCATATGAAATCCAGTTTAGCAAAGCTGCGTATGTTTAAAAACTTTTAATCAGCAGTCTGTGAAATGAGTGCTGTACTGAAATGAAGAGCAGTGGATGAAGGTGGCAGTGATGATGTGAGGACCTGTTTTGAATGCTTGAAATTTTACTGTTGGAATAAGTCTGTCATCTTCAGCCACACTTCAGATGTGGTTTTAAAGGTCAAGAGGCATTTGAGAATGCCCTCCCAAAGCGTACCAAGTGTTTTTCCTTTCTTCCTCTAAAAGTGTACACTTTAAAGTTACAGATAAAGCTTAGCGTGGTGACTGTGTCAGGAGACTGCCCGAAGAAGGCTTTAAATTTTACAGCTACATTATCTTTCTGGCCATAGTTAAGATAAAGATCTAATATAAAATCACTTTGAACTGTAATGCTTTCCTTAAATAAAATGAAGGTGTTAACCTACTTGATTTGATACACTTTACCCTGGCTTATAAAGCTGGGAGGAAGGTGAGGTAAACTTTAATTAAAACTACAGCACAGATGCCTCCTAGCACCATGCCCTGTACCTTGCTAGGACTGTACAGTAAGCAAAATAAAAATGTACCTCGCAGCCGAGGCAGCAGGCTGGAGCCGTGTTCAGTGAAAGTAATTTAATTAGTGTTGATCATGACTCCAGATGATGGTGATTTGATAAGGAATAATTTAGTACTTAACAGCCTTTTACATGCACCAACTCCATGTGGGAAGGTAAAGCAAATTGCACAAAATGAATGTGCTGCTTTCACTTGTGCCTGTGCCAGTGAGCTGGAAAACTGCCTGTTAGCAGACGTTCAGGCTCTCAGCGCTGTGATGAAATACCCAGCCAGTTCTCCGTGCAGGGCTGTGGTGTGGGAGTCTCTGTACTCCCGTTATTTAAAAATAAATAAGGGAAGTAATTTTTCATAACAGATTAACTTTGAGGAAGTAGCAAAGTTAAAATAAAAAAAAATATAAAAATAAAAAGTCAAGCAATAAAAAAAATATGAAAATAAAAAAGTTGGTGCAAATGTGATACTGGCTTTAGAGAAGAGTCTTGTTACAGTTGTGGTTTAATTCTGTGATCCAAGTCGGGGAGCTTGCCGACCTCTGTGTCAGAGTCATTGTTCTGGAGGTAGAACTTCCATCCCACACGGAAACATGCAGCACTTCATTGCTGTCTGACCAAGGCACGTGAGGATAGCCAGCAATGAAAGTTCACTCATGAAAACCTGAAGCAAACAGCTGGGGGTCATCCTGATTTCTGATGAGAGTGGAAATCTGACCATGGGCTGCAGGTTGCTTTAGTATTAAATTTCAGAACCTTTATTCAGGAGGTCCAAATGGTGTTTTATTTTAGTGCAAGTTCATGTAATTTTATTCAGAAAGATTTCTTACTGTAATATTCACTACTTTTTACCTCTGTAAGTTACTGTGCTATGTTTCTGCGTTACTCTTCTTTTACTACATAGTCTTTCCATGATGAATGACTACTGTTCACCAAATGTAGTAACTGAGTAGAGGTCTTAGAGACAGTTCTTGTGAGTTTTGTGAATATATGTGGGAAAATAATACAGCAACATCTTACACACTGTCTCAACTTAGAGCTAATACTATGAGCTGTCATATAAGCAGGTAGGAGAGGACCTGTTTGGGAAAGAGTTCTCTGAATGTCGCCCAGTTGCAGGAAGACCAGTGGTGAGAATCAGAAATCTAACACACTTGTAAATCAGGGTTTATTGATTCTGTTGTTTACTTCTAGTGTTTCATTTACCAGTCAAACATGTCCATGTTTGTGCCCATGCAGCACAAAAATAGTCTGTAACCAATTGTGTTTCCGAAGGTCAGGTGCAAGGGAAGGGACAAAATACCTGACACTATATAACAGGGACTTAATTTTGCAGTGAAGATTCTCTAATGGGGTGCTGCATGTATGTGGCTTCCTCCAGAGACACAAATGCTTTTGTCAGGCTGTCCGAACTATGGTGTTTCAATGACACCATCACAAAACAGTCATAAGAGTTCCTCTCCAAACTCTAGGCTGCTCAGAGTCCAAAAATTGATTTGAAACCTCATTTTATTTAAAAATTGAAGGGCATGTTTTCACACTGTTAAATATCTGTCTTTAGTTCTTTGTCCTCCTAGCCACTTAATTTAGATTTGCCTGTGTTCCGGTGAACTTTGAATTTTCTTCTGCTTTAATTTTAGTTAATGTTGACTATGAATAAGGAAAGTTGGCTGGCTTAAACTAATCTACTGGTTAACCTTATCTTTACCTTTGTCCTTTTCCTTAATCCAAACCAACTTGTGCTTCTCTTTGACAATGCATTTCTGTCATACTCCCTCTGTTCTTTTTGCTATATATAAAAAAAGCATAGGTAATTTTTTCTCCATTTCTTTCTATATCCCATTTCATGTTGACTTTGGTGAGGCCAGAATTTTTGAGAAAAATTACTGAAGGCATTTCTTGTGTATTTTTTCAGCTACTGCTTATAACTAAAGAAATATAATCAACCAGTTTCTTAAGTTTCACTATAAATTTGCATGTATTCTGTGGGACAAAAAGATAATGGATCATATACTTTAGGCTATTATATGATAAATTTATTTTGGAAAAATTGGTGTGGCACTCATTGAAGTGAACTGCTATTGCATTTATAGATAAAAGCTACCTCACAAATATTACTTAGAAACATTTGGTGCCTGGGAAGTATTTTGCCTCTGACAACATTTACAGTAGCTAAGCCAAATATATGTGGGCTGTTATTTTCCTACTAATGAGATGGGATCCTGGCCATCATTCTATTAAACAATAAAAGTGGTAATAGCCAATGCAAAGGATCTCTGGTGTGTATTTTTCAGTTGATACCCAAAGAAATGCTTGAAATGTTTATTTCCTATATTGTTTTTAGTATTACAATGGTTTAATTAATCATGTGTTTAATTAACAGTGTCTAGTTTACTTGGGAAAGCTCATTGTTAATATTGTACTTGGTTTTTAATTACATTTTCTTTCTCTTTCCAGTGGCTTTTCATGGTCTCCCTGTGAAAATCAAGAAGGAACCCCATAGCCCATGTTCAGAACTTGGCTCTGCTTGCAGTCAAGAGCAACCATTCAAGTTCAGTTATGGGGAAAAGTGCCTGTACAATGTCAGGTAAAGCAATCAGGAGTATGTCTACAGTGAAAACTGCTGGTTTAAATGAGGACTGACTAAAGAGAAATAAAGCCATAAAAGATCTTATAAAAGTTACCTCTTCAGCAGATAACAGACTGATGAGATAATGCTTTTAGCTGATGAACACCGATGGTGTTGTTTACAGTTGTATGAAACACATAACCGTTTTAAAGCAGTGTTTTTCATCAAAATGCATATTCTCCATTCCTTCTCCATGGGAGATAGCCAGAATTTTAAAACCGATGGTGCAAGCGTGAAATGGAAGAGTGTCTGGTTTTCTGTGAGTTGTGTTGAAAATACTTTCAAGATGCACTACACACATTAGGAAAGAGAGTAAGCTCTGTGTAACAGGCTGGCAGATCTGAACAGCACCTTAGATATGTGACATGTTTTGAAATGACATATGCCTACATTCAAGGATGACTGCAATTTGAAATAGTATTTCATTAGGATCTGCATCTTTGCTATCTTTTCAAAAGGAAACTGTCATTTTTTATAAGTGTAAACAGTAAAAGCTTTAATTATTCTGAGGGGCTTGATATGACTGCATTCTTTATTTTCTTTTGGCTTGCACTTACATGTAATTCCTACCATCAGTGTCAACAGCAAAAGGTTTCTTATTGACAATTCAGTCTATTTATATCTTTAAATTTGCTGGTGAGTTCTTGTTCACATTAATGTACTACCAAAACTGAAAGCACTTAAATCCTTTGCATTTTTTTATGTGGAAGAAAAGAAAAAAACAGACTGGCACCTTCACCAGTCATACTGGATTGGTTTTGATTACAAAAATCAAATGTGGGTGTTAATGGATCTGATGGAAGCTGGGGGACCTGACATAGGAAAGTGTGCAAGTTCATGCTTACTGTCTGCTTCACATCTCTGTTTTTACTGTTTGGAAACAGGAATGATCAAAGTGTGCTCATGCCCTTTTCTTGTTTGGGACACCTTTGTATTTGCAGGACTTGAACGCTATTTTTGAGAGAGAGGAAAAAAAAACTGTCAGGGGAGGCTGCTGACATCCTATGTGGGTAGCAAAGCCAGCATAGCATTGTTTTTCTGGGTCAGATCCCTTCCCTCTAGCTGCATTCATTGTTTTACTGTCTCACTTTGTGATTTGTACAAGTTATAAAAAGAGTCTTGACAGGCACTGCCAGCTCTTCATGCTGTAGTCCAGGTGCTTTTACATCTGTGTATTTTGTGTATCCCTTGTTAGAATGTCACTGTAGGACTGAATCCTTTAAAAATACATTTCGAGGTCCAGAGAAGAAAATGCTATGTTGAGCCACTTACCTCCAAAGTGATTTTTTTGTGTGTGCTCTTCTCAGTCTAGAGAGTTTCTCTTCCCTAAACTGCTTAATAAAGTATCTGTAATAGAAATCTGTATGTGATTTTTTTTCTCTCTTAATGTGCTTAATGTGTTTGCTGAGAAAACAACCTGACCATCCTTCCTCTTGCTTTACTGATAGTGCCTATGATCAGAAGCCACAAGTGGGAATGAGGCCCTCCAACCCACCAACTCCATCCAGCACACCTGTGTCACCACTGCACCATGCCTCCCCAAACTCAGCTCAGACTCCTAAACCTGACCGGGTTTTCCCTGCCCATCTCCCTCCATCCCAGTCCATTCAAGACAACAGCTTCCCTATGGACCACAGGTAAAATGCAAAACACATACAGGACATCCAGAAGGCATTTCAATGATGGCTGCACGTTTCTAATAAAGGGCAGCACTGGCTTCCAGCCAGTAAAGTTCAGAATGTCAGAAATATGTGGTTGTGTAAAAGAGTGGCACTCTGCTTGATGGACTTCAGTAGAAGTTGATCTTGGCACTGACAGAGTTTTAATAAGCTGGTTCTACTGCCTTGTGAGGGCAATTCACTTGAGGCTAGTAAGCCCCATGAGGTGATGAAGTCAATAGCAGACATAATCCTGGCTATAAGTATCTTGCATCTTCCTAAGAAATGTACCTACAAAGGGATAAGTGGCTGCATTACGATGTTACTGCTTGAGAATATTCTTTGGAAGGGTGGATCATTTTTCCAACTGCTTTTGAAATATAGCATTTCAAACAAACTAAGATGCCAACATAAACTGCGCTTAAATAACATTAGTCTGAGTAAAAGCCACAAGAGCTGGAGACTAGAATTAAAGCTTAAACTGTCCTTAAGTCACCCTGTTTTGTTTTGATGTTAGAAATCCCTAGACAACTGACTGTCTTTCTTAGCTCTGTTTTGCAACAAATATGCTCAGTGAATTTCCCTTATTTTTTGAGACCAGACACTTGTTTGTGGAATTCTATTCATTCTAACCATTGTTACATGAACCTGTTTGTGTTTGCTGAATTGTGCAGTTTCTCAGAGCATTTTGCTTTTCAGCTATATATAGATATATAAGTTCAGGGACTTGTCTTAGTGCTTACAGTTTAACAAATTGTTAACGAATGGTTAAACTGTACCTGGAAAGAAAATCACAGATTTTGGGAGCATGCTTCTGCTCTAATAAGGGCTATTATCTCCAGGGATTTGCGCAGATCACTTCTGAAGGAGGTTGCTATGGTTTATATTGCTATTTTCTACCCTAGTAGGATAGTATTAAATATCATCAAGATTCCTATAAGCATGTCTAGCATTGAAGGAGCACTGAATTAGGCCCTTCAACTGCATTGTATAGTTTCCCCCCCCCCTTGCACTGCGGTTTAACCAAGTTGACCCCTGGTGAAGCCAGGCTGCAGTTCTGATTGCAGGAGTGTGGTTAAATGTGTTTCTCTATATACACCCAAGTCATTGTGCATTGTCAGGAGACTGAAATCCCCCAAAGATTTTGTATAAGAGAGTATTTTACAGTTTAAAAAAAAAAAAATTATTTTATTTAGTTACTATTTTAGAGCCATTTGTGAAGAGAATACTGAAACTCCATGTCAGCCTGAATTTGAATGTTTATAGAGGTTTATCTTTCTGTAACTGTAATAATTACGTAATCTTTATGGGTTCTTTACACATCTTTTTTTCTGTGTCTTTGAAGTTCATGTTCTTTGGGAAATTTTCCACTTGTGCTTCCTTTCTGTGATCAAATATCACGTTTTCGTTAATATCAAATTAGCTGGGGTAAAAGTCTCCTTTTTCAACCTTTATAAAGAAAAGTACAATTGTAGTGGAAGATGTTTTTTCTCCATTTTCTTGTTTACTTTGAATCTTCTCATTTGCTGTTGTTTGAAACAAATGTACACTTCATATTTTTGTGCAATTCAAATCTTCCTGATTTACAAGATGGTAGCTGTAATGAGTGCATTCAGAAAATGTCATTTAAACAAATGGTCTACCTATATAAGTTTGTATATAAATCTTTAACTCCAAGCATATTTCTTTGGAACATGCATTGGTGGTATAAGATAGAATCAGTATCTAGAAGATACAGCCCATACATCTTCATACTGGGCATGAATATATGAGCGATAAGTGGTCCTAACAAATACCAACAGGAATCAAATCCACTTGTGTAAACAAATGACTTGATTCCATACAAAGCTTCCAGTACAACAAGTATTATTAACTTCCTTTGAGGCTTTGTGAGTGAGTCTGTTTCTTATTTTAACTTCAAGTTGCAATTTTCTGATTCACTCCTTGACAGTTCTTAATGATAATTTCTGCTTCTTTTTTTGGCTAATGAAAAAAGGAAAAGAGGGAAATGAATGCAGTGCCAGTCAGCCTAACTGTTTCATAATACATTTGAGTTTCTAAGTTTATTTTCTGCAGGTGTAGGTGGAATTGCAGAAACCAATGGTACAGTGTAATATTCTTTGTACTGCAGAATAGAATATTTACAGCAACATTAAAAAAATTAATTTTGTCTCTAGTTCTACACTGTAATAGTTTCTATCCCTGTAGCTCCCACAGTATTTGTAATTAAGCTATGATGGTAAATATTTCTCAGAGTAAGTTCACAGGAGTATTTTGACAGATGTTAGGGTTTCAATTATTTCAAAAACATGTACTGCATATGAGATGATTTTCAAGGACTGTGTTATTTATGCAATCAGAACCCTGCGTTCTTCTTCACTTACTCCATTTTGTCCAGGAGAATGTCTGCTTTTGCTGGCATGAGCCAAAGTCAGTTCCACTGCAGAGTACAAGAAGCTGAAGAATGACCAGTTCTTCATTTTTGGTGTGAGAATGTGAGACTTGCAGAGAAAGGCACTAGTTTCTTTTTTAAAGAAGAAGAATAATGAGTGGTTAATAGGGTGAGCACTTTGTTGCAAGAAAATTGTTGCACCTGCTGTGGATTAGAAAAGACACAGTTCTGGTGGTGATAGTTACCCCCTGTCTGGTAATCCGTAGATCGCACAAGGCTGTGGGGTTCATCAGAGCAGGGTGGGAAAATAGCATCCTTGTATTCTCTAGGCTTCTGAACCTGCAGATATCCAAGTAATTACATTCAAAACTTTTAGTTTTATGAAGAGAGCAACAAATGCAAGTTCATGAGTAGTGATGCATGGAAATGAGGTTGACTTATAACTGAATTCTCAGATTTCATGTGTACTGAATAGCATTTTGGAGTAGTGAATGACAACATGACCTGTGTGGACTTCTTTCTTCATGTAGAAATGATCATGGGAAGAAGTTGGGGCAGGAGGGAAATTCTTATTATTTCTCTTAGCAAAAGTCTGTACCCAATCCTTTTTCTGGAGTGCTTAAATTCCCTTCCGAAATGCAGTGCCACCTTTGCACGTAGACCTTTGTCCCCAAGGGAACAGAACTGTATACCTGGGCATGACTCCGGGAATTGAGACAGACAATATTCTTTGCTTACAATGATTGTGTTTGTTGTAGTGGTCAGAATGGTTTCTATGTAACAGAACTGCAATAGTAAATTAGAGTACAAGCGATATGCTATTCATGCTCATGAAAGAACAGAGAAATCCGTGTTACTGTTGTAGTATAACATCAGTCTTTTTGCTGTTTGGCCTCCTCTGTTTAGAGATGTTGAAGGCAAGGAATATGGTGGTGGGGGCAGGTATTAGAGTTGGTATTAGAAGGTGGAGGGTTTATTTCTTTGTTTCTTGCTGTTCTGCAGCACTGCCATGACCATAATCCTTGAGGGGAGTGGTTAGCATTATCATAAACAAAATGTTTGCTACTGAGAAAATGATAAAGCCATTCTCTCCTGCTAACCATAATCTGTGAAGATCTTTGTGAAAGGGAATGTAGCTTAAGTCCTTTACATGACCTCTCTAACTTGTGTCCTAGATTTCGCCGCCAGCTCTCTGAACCTTGCAATTCTTTTCCACCTTTGCCTGCAATGCCGAGGGAAGGACGTCCAATATATCAGCGGCAGATGTCTGAGCCTAACATCCCCTTCCCGCCTCAAGGTTTTAAGCAGGAATATCACGATCCAGTTTATGAACACAACGCTATGGTTGGCAGTGCAGCCAGTCAAAATTTCCCCCCTCCTCTGATGATTAAACAGGAACCTAGAGATTTTGCATATGATTCAGGTAGGTGAGACTCTCTTTATTTCTGCATAGTAAAGTAATAAATGAGTCCAAGGTAGTGCTATTGATGTTTTGATCACATTAATTGAAACTTGCTCTTTTGACTTTAAATGTCTCACAGTAATTTATGTCCAGTGAGACTTTCAATATAGTAAGACTGCCACATAGAACCATGTTCTCGTGCCACTGTTTCCTTGTCTTGGTCTGCAGAGGATTTCACTTCCTAGAACTCTCTGTCCAGACAGTGTACAAATTAAAGAAGACAGAGAAGAAACAATTGTGGGTGTAAACTGAGCTTTGCTTAAACGAGGTCTTGCTCTGTACTATCTCATCTCTGACCTCTAAATTTGTGTGTTCCATTTTACGAGCTCTTTTATTTGCCTGCCAGAAGCAGAGGACTCTTTCTCCTCTTGCTTGCACTACCTTAAATCAGAAGTAACTCCACTGAGGTGGGGTTTATACAGCTATAAAACCAATGAGGGAGAAGAATCAGGCAAATTGGTGTCAGCTTCTCAGTTTGTGCATACTCCTGTGTTTTGTAGAGGTAGATAATCTGTGATACCAGGTTGCTGATGTAGAGAATACACTATTGCTATTAATAATGTTTATTATTATTGTGTTTTTAAGGCAACCGAAATGGAGCCTTATTGCTCTATAGATAGTATGAAATAGAGGAGATGGTGGCCCATTCTGAGAAGCTTCTGGTCAGAAAAGATAAAAATGTGAATCAGGGGAATATTATTATTAATATTAGATTCCTTTGCCACAATTTAAATATTTATACTGTATTTAGGAAAGAAGAAAATTAAGGAAGGAAAAATAGAGGTTAGTGTTGAGTTCCAGGTAAAGAGGAGAGGGAAGCTGAAGGGTAGCGGGGAGGTTATGCTGAGATTAGAACAGCGTGGAGCTGAATGGATGAGGTAAATGGGGGAAGCATCAATTTGGTAAGTATAATGGTGTGAAAATGCCATCAAAACACGTCTTTCAGCTCTTCGATCACTGTCTCTGTCTTGCTTTATGTATGCTACACTGTTGAAGGGAGGAGGGGGGGGACTTCAACAAGTTTTTATGGTGCTCCTTGGGCAAGGTATGTTGCTTTTACCAGGCACTCTGCGTTGGAGCAGGGGGAATGGATGACCCTTCATTGAATTCCGTCTAACTCTCTTCTGGGTACCTCCTGTGCTTTCCTCCTGGCTCGATCTCTGGCTGGATGCTTTTGCAGTTTTGTTTCCAGCAGCTGCATGGCTGCTGAGTTGTGGTCTCCTTTGAAAGTTTAATCCATGACAAACTGTCTTGCAAATTGATAAAGTAGAAGTTTTGTTTTTATTGTTTTTTTCTATGGCTATCTTAACATTACCTATTTAATAAATATTTTGTGGCAACATTGTGGTGTAATGTGCCTGTTTTAGGATTGATCTCCATGTTCATAAAGGTGATTTTGGAAAGCAGAGCTGCTTTTGCCTTTCTTATTCTTCACAAACAAAAAAACAATCCTTAGATTAATTTGCATGAGGCATATACAGGAAGGGACTAAGAACTTCAGAACAGAAGTATGACAACATGAAAATAGGCTTAGATTGTATGACTGAGATCTTGAATTAAACCTGTTCTCTGATGAAGGTTCTGAGATAATGTGGTTCTGGCAATCTTATATCTTTAGTCTTAGAGAAGAGCAGGGGAGAGACTGTCTGCAAAGTTAATGTGGCTGTGGATAATAAATAGGGGACTGCAGCTTCAGGCACTGCCAGTCCCCTGCAACCTTCACAAGCACCGTTATTCATCCTTCTAAATTAAAGGGTGAAAAAAGGCCCTTTTGTAAGCATGCTTCATATTTGACTGGGAAGTGGGATCGCCTTATTGCATGCTATTACTTTGAGCCTGGGTTGTCTGCTAGCATCCATCTTTCCTTTGAATATTCTTTATGGCAAAAAAGCAGTTTTGGTTCTGAAAAGAAGATGTGCATAGTTGTGTCCAATCCTATCATGCCTTTTTTTTTTTTTTTTTTTTTTGGTGCCAACAAGAACATTTCACTTTTTAGTAATGGCATTTAAGCAAAATTGTTGTTTCTTTTGCAGATGAATAATTGTTTTTAAAAATGTAATAGCTGTGTAACCAGTGGTCATGAAAAATTAATCTGTTGGTATCAGGAAATACTTTTATTGGCCTCAGAATCACTGCATTTAAGTTGACACATCTGTACACTCCATAAATTGCAGTCAACAACTGTGGTCTGTTGATATTTTGTCTTGTTACCATCTGTTCTCTAGAAGCCATCATTTTCCATCCTTGCTAAAAGTACATTAAATAAGCCCTTAGGAAACATAATGTATTTGTCACTGAATCATTGATTTCATTTTTTTGCCTATGGATGTTCAGGGAAGGAGGAATGCCAGAGTGAAAAGTTTTTTTTTTTTTTTTTTTTTTTTTTGCATGCTATTTTATTGCAGCTCAGATAAGAATATAGAAACATATTTAAAAAGTTCATCGTAATACACTAAGATGTTCCTTTTGGGATGTTTTTGAAAGGGCCTCATAAAAGTTCATTGCTTCTGTGCACTATACTTTTATACTTTGTGGGAGGCTGGTGAATGAAAAGCATTATTATGGAATGATTATAACTCTATTAAAACATGACATTAATTATGACATGGGAAATGGCAGATCAATTAGTTGTAATTGTAATTGCAGGTATGCAATTTCTATTGCAGAATGTTTGAGATAATGGAAAAAGAAAAATGTCAACAAAGTAGAAGTCTTCCTTATCTATCCACACTTCTAGAAGTCAGAGTGCATCATATACATTCAGTCAGGCATTTTCTGCTACTAATTTTTTTTTTTTGGATGCTTGTCACAGGTGTTAGTTCTTGATTCTGTATGTAGTAAATAACTTGTAGGACTTTGGAATTTTATATCATTAATGTTTGTTTACAAGAATTAATAATGATCGTTCCAGTACTGTTAGCACTACTACAATTCAGTTCATGTATTCAGTTATTTAACTGAAAAGGCCAAACTTGAGCTGCTCCATCTATTCTGAACTTTATTTTGAAGCAGGACCGTTGCAGATTTAATCCTTCCTATTTTAATTAGTGTATTTGCAAATATACTGTGTTATTACACCATCCATGTAGATTAATATTAAAAATGTTTTGCAGTGAAATCTGAAATTGCAGGTTAAATCCTCACATTTTGTTTTACTTGATTGAATTAGGTTTTTGTTTGGAATGTTCTTTTCTGCCCATGTCTTTGACTAAGAACTTGGAAATTTGTCACCTGGTAATGTTAGTCAGAGATAAGTGGAGGAGTTACTGCTTCCATATAGTTATTACTGATTGCTAGAAATTATCTGTTGATAGAGAGGCATGCTAGAGGCATTGATAGGGCTATTCTTGCATCTCAGGGTAGTCTCACAGTTAATACATCAGAAATGACTCTAGAAAATTAGGATTCTAACCCTGTTGCTTTGAAAGTTTTCTTATGAGTCACATTACTTATGTAATGAACTATCAAGACACAATTACAAGGCTCTGTGTGTTGCTCTCTGCATTGCTCGTCCCTCGAACTCCTGAGGCCTCACAAATGGTGGATACCTTTGGCACTCGAGTATGGGTAAGAGAGATGAATGGAGACTGCGGCACATTTGTTATACACCTACTTATTTTGGGTGCCCTGCTATGACTGGAAAATTCTTAAAGAACATTATGTATTACGTAAAGTTCAAGGCTTAGCTTCGAGTGACTTCTTTTGAATTTCTAGGTGAAGAAGTACAGGAATATCAGACAAAGCATTACAAAAGTAAGGTAGCAACTACTTTGGCAAACTTTGGGGCTGGAATAGCCTTTGTTAGGTCCTAAAATTGGCCATTCCACTGTATTAATCTTAAGGTAATCTTTTCCTTTCTTGAAACGTTCTGCCTCATTAATGGCAGAACTTCTAGCCTCTAACAAATGAAGCAGAGGGTCCGCCTGTAAGTCTGTTCACTGTACTGCTCTCCCTCTCCCAAAACGTCTTGATTTGTTCAGTCAAAAGGCGAGAGTCCTGAGTCAAAAGGCTATATTCATTAGCAACAAAGCAGTTGCATCAAAGTTGCCCAGGAAGTTGTAATTATGACACTTCTTAACCACCAGAGCTTCCTTGTATAGGTATAGGATGTTGTTAGCATTCTACCATCCATGTTATAAATACATATTTACCTAATGACTGGGAACAGAATAAAAAGCAAGAGTCCTTTCAAATACCTGATGTGGTGCTCTTTGAAAAGCAAATAAATGCAAATTAACGTGGAAAAAGAAAAAGATCCCTAGTAGCACATTCTTCCCTAGAGATCAGCTGACGTCTCTTGAAATGTAGGAGTTGCAAGAACAGAATTAGAGAATGTGTTGAAGTAAAATTTCAAGGCAAAAATAGATTTTAAATGTGTTTCTATCTGTTTGCAGATTTTTTTCTTTACAACAGCTGGATATTATATTCTACCTCTTGGAGATACACTTTAGACATTTGGAGATGCTAGTATGAAGGAAAAAAAAAAATCTTAGTTGGCAATCAGAATTGTTGCAGATTTGCAGGATATTCTCTAGTGCCTTGACCAGTGCAGCATTTAAAATGACAACTCACAGTGCTTCTACTACTGTCTTTAATTATATTGGCTAATTTTTGTACAGTGCTTTGAAAATGTAAAGCACTGTGTGAGTGCTAAGTATTATTACTACAATTATTCTCTTGGGAGATTATTTCACAGACTAATAGACTTCACAGTTAAGAAATATTTCTTGATAGTAAGCCTAAATTTTCCCTTTGATCAGTCTCATTTCACTGCTCATAGCTGCAACTCTTTGGCTCATCCTAAACAATTCCTTGGTATTAATGTACCACCTCTAAATCTCTGTAGACAGTTTGCATGCATACTCTTAGCCTGTCTGTGTGACTCATGGAGATCTTGCTGCATAAATCCTCTAGCTGCTTAATCTTTCCCTCAAAGATGAAAATTCTCTCTCGGTTTTCAT